CTGACAAAGTCTTACAAAAAGTAAACATTTTTTCTCTTTCTCACTGCTTTGACTATCTGGTAGAGAAATGAAAACAATGACATAAGAGAAAATTTGAATCACATAGCACATTTGAATTATTTCTTTGATACTAATGGACACTTTTTTTCTTGTACTTAAAACCATAATATAACAGACCGAATAGTATTGTACATCTGATGAAAAATAATTCAGAAGAGGAGCATTTAAAATGGATAGATGATTATTTTTAGTGTTTCCAGTTTATTTATTATAACCCATCACCTCTTATTTAAAATTGCAAAGAAACTTCCAAAGAAAATAGCTTTGTTTTAAATAAAGTGTTTACATAATGTAATATAATTAGGTGCCAAAATATTTTCAGCATTTAAAGCCATCAGCTAATATTCTGAAGTCTCCATTTTAAAATTTGTGTCAGGATCATGACCTCACCACACAGGTAATATAGCAGCAGTCCCCAACTGCTGGAAGACAATTTTTTCATGGACCGGGGGGAGGAGGAGATGGTTTTGGGATGATTCAAGTGCATTGCATTTATTGTGTACTTTATTTCTATTATTATTACATTATAATATACAATTAAATAATTATACAACCCACCATAGGTTGGGGACCCCCAATTTAATGGATATGTCTAGCATATCTAACCAATTGGCATATAAGGACCAGATGTTCAGACTACCATAAAATGAATAAGAACCTAAACTCCTAAATGGAACAAATTTAGTTGTATTCAGGTAGTATATTGCATCTCCATAGAATTTTTTTAAAAATTCTGTTGAAAAGCAAAAGTTCCCATAAGTCTTGCTGGGTTTCAGTTGATTGAATTGATGTTATAGATATATTAATTCAAAGCTGATGATAGAGGATGCTTCTTTTCAGGTGATATATTCTTACTATAAGAAGATAAAAATAAAATTTATTATGAGAGTTGACCCGAGAGCTTTCTTCTTATTTTTTTCTTTCAAAGTTAGATTGAACCATGATTTATTTTAGTATATATATTCAACAGACTGAATGAAGCCATCTGATTAGGGAAAGGTGTTTTTATTTTGGACATTATTCCTTTTCCTTTATGATCTGAAAACAGAGTAATGTATTTCAGCACTGTATTCTCGAAAGTGGTAGGACTTTTATCCTCTACTTAGCCAAATAGTTTCTCTTCCACGTCTTCTGCTAGATCATATTGAGCCTTCAATAATGGGCCCAGCAGCAATCTGGATCCTGTTACTGGATACTTTGTCTAGCAATTGGGACAACCTGGTTTGGGGTATCAGCAATGGTGTCCCCTCTTCAGGAAGACAGCAATCTCTTTTTAGTTTGTTTACTGTGGTTCTTCTCCTACCTGATAATACCAAAATCAGCCACCATTAGAATATGTCAGCACCTCAGAAACTCTTGCCTGAAAAACATTTAACTTCATGGAATCTCAGTTTCACAGTCTGTCATATCAATGAATAATTTCACAGGGAGAAATTATAGGGAGAATAAACTAAGTGCATGTGGGAAAAATCTACACATGTGGTTTGTTTTTATTTTTTTTCTTGATATGAACTCTTGGCATTTTAAATATTAATTTTATAGCCTTTCCACTTTCTCCTTTTTTCTATTCCCTACTGCTCTTATGCTCATTGATGAACCTCTATAGTCTCTCATAGTTTTTCTGAAAACCACAGTCTACTAGTTTTACGCACATTCTTTTTTTCAAACTTTTCCTTTCAATTCGATTGTATCACGTAACACAGACCATAGCTTCAGATAATGCTATCATACTTTATCGCCTAGACAGACAGGAAACCAAAGCCGCAGAGACTGGTTTATTCAAATACAGAATGGCTGATGGTAACAACAGATAGAACTTGACTTTGTGGAACCATAAAATAGTTTCAGTTTTCAGGATGAGAGAGGAAAACAGTACAGATAAGACCTGTGGAAATACATGGTTATTCTTGAATTGTCGAGTTTAGGTATTCAATGTCATCCACAATACATTGTACTAATTATGTTCTCAATATTGTAGACAAGTAGAAGGTCACATTCCCAACTCCAAGTTCTCAGTAACTGGAGTGGCAAAGCTTATCTTCAAATAATTTAATCAAGAGATACTTTTCCATAGGCCATTTAAAAAATTAAGATATCACAGTTCACTATTATATTCACATCTCTGTTTGCTTCATCCTGAAATATGGCTTATATATGAATGTTAAACAGTAAATCACCATAAAGATAAGTAGCTTTTTGGAGTTAATTGTGAGAACAGTAGAGCACTTTGTCCTTGAAATTAGCACAAATATTTAGGAGGGGAAAAATCAAGTTATTATTTAATTTCACTTAATCTTAAATAGCAAATATTTCACTTAATCCTTCTTATTTTTTTAGCACCACAAATATATTAGTACTCTAATATTTATTCATATTCACAGAATTTCATAAATAAAATATGCCACTGCCTCTCTGCTGAGTACTCTGTGGTTATTTTGAAAACAATGCTGCCACTTTGTCTTTGGCATGTGGATGGTAACTGATCTTGATAATACAATGCCTTATCTTGTGTCATGTTATTCATTTCTCCTCAGAATAAGGAGAAGATAAAAGTTTTGCTGCAAACCCAGAGCTTTCACATATAAAGGAAAAAAATTTCTCCTCTGCCTGACAAAATAATGTCATTTAATTTTACCTTAGTGTTTAAGTTTTGATTTCTGCTGTTGACTATACCAGTGATTATAGTTGAATAGAAAATTACATTACTTTAATTTTAGGACCAAAGATTTTGATAGGGCTTCTAGGATACATCTCTTTGTTTCCCATGGAAATATTTTCTTTTTAAAGAGCTTTAAGGTCAGACATTTTATAACTTTCTTCAGTAATAGGCTGGCCAATCACAGAATATATTTCAACTACTAATTGTGTAACTTTTCACCATACAAAATACTTACAAACGCTTCACAGAGATGGAAAATCAATTGTCACTATAGTGGAGAAATTTTTCCACATTTGTAAACAATAACACTCATAATAATTTTCAAAATTTAAATGATCAGTTGAAATTCTAATTTTTCTTTAAAAGCTTTATTTTTGACTACAAAGGAACAATGTAGAATTAACCACAAGTATGTCCCTTCTTATGGGT